GGAACCCAGGCAGAGACTTGAACCCAGGTCCAAGAGGTGGGCCGCAACAGTGCTAACCACTGTGTCACCCCAGTCATAAAGCCTATGGCACCAATCCTTGCATTCGCCGTAAATTGTTTTAATAACCACAGCTCACAAGTGATATTGCTTGATCCCTGTCTTTAAAGTAAGGATAATTTGGTTTTTTTTCATTCATGTATGAAATTATGACCAACTTACTACATATTCCAAGTTGTTGTGAGGGTCCATTTACATGAACTCACTTATGCAACACTTTTATCCAAAGCAATTTATAATTGAGGTTTGCAAATTGGGATAGGGAATATATCAATGAAATATTGTATCTTGACTATGAACATTCTAATCTTCATCTACTAGCATCGATATATAGCCTAAACACTTGTTTTCTTGCATAATTAACAGTTATAGTGCATTATTTTTACACAAATTTCATCAAGATAATTTATCATTATACCATTCTCTATAACTGTTAATAGAACAATTTGGAAAAACTCAAAACCACATCATATTTTATTGTGTCCTACATATTAATTTTAGAATATTGTGATACATATTGATATTGTGAAGATCTCTGAGAATATTGTGATATAATTTTAGGGCATATCGCCCAACCCTAGTCACACCTGTTCCCTAGAATGCACAGCGAGGCAGTCAGAGAAAGAAAAACTAGAAGCAAAACATATTGTTGGCGTTTTGTAGTGTTACGCCCTACGATTAAAACGTTTGTTTCTATGATTTTTTAATTAAAATTAAATTCCAGTTTGCAGTCTTTTATTTGTCTTTTTCCATGTTATGAATCTGTTTAAAGGCAATTCTAAGGGAACTTTAAGCAAAAATCTGACAATGAAGTAAAGAAACACTGAATTGAATTATACTGTAATAATTATCAGTATTGTTTGATATGAAAAAAATATCATCATATTTGCAGTTCATGTGTGTTCTCTGGGATTTGAAATTATACTCTGTGTATTGTTAAGGTACATGTTAAGGTACATGAACTATACACTTAGTGGAGCCTCTTCACAGTATAGATTTAACTCTCTAAAACAGGGTTATTCAACTCACGGTCCTCGAGGTCCGAGCACTGCTGGTTTTCCAGCCTTCCTTTACCTGTCAGTCAGGTGTGAAGCCTCTGATCAATCAGAATCAGTAATTATTAAACAACTACCTGGGAGAACTGAAAACATGGCCTGGATTTGGAATCGAGGTCCAGAGTTGAAGAACCCTGCTCTAAAACATGTGGTCTCTCATTGAAAACTCTATGCAATCTGGTAAAGAACCAGAAACAGCTGTTTGATTTAGCGACTTACCTGTAATGAGACAATCATTACGGCAATCATACAGCATCCCCAGCTGGAAGGGTCTTCCAAGGGCTGCCACCTCCAGAGGCGTCTGTGAGTCAGTTTCCATGATTTGAGTTCTAAACTCTAAAAATGCAGGTGTATATGCTATGATTAATTCATAATTGTGTTCATGTCACAAATTACATAAAATACTAAACTATCGTTTAAAATGAATTATTCTGAATTGAGCTTTGGAGGCATACAAGCAACATTTAGGAAAATAAAAAATCATTTTAAAATTGTATTGATAACAGCTTGAACTCAGGTCCCAGAGGTGTGTGCAACAGTGCTAACCACTGCACCACCGTGTCGCCCCAATCATCATCATCATCATCATCATCATCATCATCATCATCATCCATCCATCCATCCATCCATCCATCCATTTTCTGCCGCTTATCTGCTGTCAGGTTGCGGGGTATCAGTCTAAGCAGAGATGTCCAGGCCTCCCTCATACCAGCCACCTCTTCCAGCTCCCCTAGGGAATACCAATGCGTTCCCAGGCCAGCCGAGAGATGTAGTCTCTCCAACATGTCCTGGGTCTGCCCTAGGGCCTCCTCATTGTTGGACATGCCCAAAACACCTCCCCTGGGTGTTCTGGCTGCAGAACACTGAGCTACGACCACCACTAGGGGGATCTCCACTGTGGGGCTGGAAATCACTACATCTCCACACCTGTCTGGTTGCTAAGCAGAATATAAATGGTATTTCCTGTAGTTATAAGTCCCTGCCCTGCAACCACAGATCTAGCTTGAGGCGGTTTATTTCATCATAACTCCATGCTCAGTATAAGTACCATTTCATAACAATTTTCGATATAAAATATTCACTATAAAAATGTGACTGAAAATCATTGGATATCTGAGGTGTTGCATTCTTCGAGCATTGCTTTGCATGTCTATGGCTTTGCAATAAGCCTGACGACCAAGAACTATTGATGGGGTTTCCTTTATCATTAATAACATTTTTGTAAACCGAAATAATTAAAATAACGGAATATGTCGTCAAGGAATATTTAACTTATTTCCCGAGTCTCATGTTCACAATACTAACTGACTGAGGCCGGGCATGTTTTTCGATAGCCGTACATCAATTTATGAAATATCTGCCCCTTGCTTAATAATAAAACTGAAAACTGATGAATTTCTAAACTATTTTAGCGGTCTCACCATTTTTATAACTCGCCATTACAGTGCGCGTCGACTTGCGACTCATTTTTAACCAGGATCACCGGACTGTAATATACACACAATACTCTGCAGAAAATAACAATGCAAATATAAAATCCCGACACTAGATAATAAAATCGTTCTACTACATCCACTGTCAGGCGTCTCTCGATCAGTCTATATTATTTACTTTGGACATGAATGCGAACTGACTGGATGTAAAACTGTCATATTCTTTGCCTTTATTTTTAAACTTGAAAACTGCTCACAAAGAACCAAGAATGCAACTCCATCCGTAATGCTGGAGGTGTGGAACAACAGTGCAGCAATAGAGACATCGTGTTTTTCTGTTTTATAGAAAGCATTATTTACATATAATGCATATGGCTAGCCTACTCTAGGTGATATATTGCATATAAGTAGGCTACAAACCGACTTCGGAATTTTTAAGGTATATCTCATATAACGTAGGCCTATCGATCGTCACTCACCATTTCCACAGGATATTATACCCTTATTTTTTTTATCTTAAATGTAAATTAAAGTGTAATACGTACGCTGATATTAAAAACTATATCAATCCGAATACATTTACAGTTTAAGTTAAACAAAATGATAAACGATTGACTAACCTGCATTGAGAGGACTTGGACCCCAAATGACAACAGGACAGCGATTTATGTAACGAAATTCATTTTTTTAGTTTGATCTTGACAGTGCTGTAAACGGAAGTGTACGGGTTCGGTTCGTGTAGCTGCCGGTATGAGACCGCGGTCAGTATGAGGCAATAAAATTTGCCGTTTCGCGTTATAACGTGATGATAAATATCTCAGGCAAATTGATAATGACTCATTACAACGCTTTGACCAAGTTAATTTGCTTAATGCTGGGGAAACGCCCCCCCCCCCC